GTGATATATCGCGCGTTCTCTCAAGTGCATTCCGGAAAGAAACGGACGTCCGATTAGGAAAGAAAACAGACGGAAAGAAATAGCGGTGAGTGAATCGCGCAGTTATGCACGGTGGGATACAACGCGTTCGGCGAAGATTATTGGTCGTCACGACCGCGCATTTCGCCTCGCAACCCTAAATGGTACTTGTATGTTTGTACACGTGGCATGAATCGCGTTTGCGAACGCGGGATGACATAACAGACGTAATAATGTAACGATAAACGCACGCCTTTTGTATAAGCGCCTCCTCCTCCCTCGGATGGATGGATCGCGCGTGTCTCGATCGTTCGTGGGATCATCGATAATGACGATCGATGATCTACGGTGATCGATAGCAATGCCAGGAGCACAGGAGACGCGAAGAGGTCGCCGCGAATCCGACACGAGCTGGCGAAAGGCTCATTCATCCGGCGGTGGAGGAAGAGGGAGGAGAGAGAGAGGAGGGGGGCGATACGGAGAGGGGGAGAAGAGAGGCGCGCACGCGCACCCACGGCGGCACGCAGCATGAAATTCGCTTAATCGCTTAATGAGCGAATCCAACGGCACCAATGAAGATTACCGCAAATTGCGAAGCTATAACTTTGCTTTCAAAAGTGAATTATTCGCTACGGAGAGAAAGTTTCTTGGTTCTTCTCTCCTTCCTTCCCCTTTGCCCCCTCCCTCTTTCTCTCATTCGATTTACGAAGATAAAAGCAAGACTGCAGTAGTGCGAACGATGAACATCCCGAGTCGCGAGACTGAAGAAGAATCGCGCACTTTTTGTGTTACGCAATTTCACGTTGTGCAACCATGTGGCGATGTTTAATACGTTAAATGTATAAATAACGCTAACGTGTGTACAATACCACTGCCAACACGCGGCTATGCGTGGATCCGAATCACGACTATCGCGCACTTCGTCACAGGTCACGAGATCACAAAAATCATATTGAAGAACGAACTACGAAAATTCGACTCGAATCGAATCGAGGTTCATTCGAATTCGATTCTCTCTATGCCTTAAATATCAACTATTGGAAAATTTTGAGTCGAAAACATTCCAATACGGATCACATGTATTGGCAATCTTATAAAATTATATTTTGCTATGTTTGCGCCGAATTCAAATTTGTAATAATTATTTGATTAAAAATTATATATTTCGATTTTTCGGTCCGATTTAACTCGAATTGATTCGACTCAAATAAAATTTTATTGATTCGAATTCGCAAAAAAACTAAAATTCAATTTGATTCGATTCATACATCTCTAAATCATGCAACTCTTTCAGATCCAAATTCTTCGAAAGAAAAAAAATCAGAAGGAAGTTATGTATAAAAGATAAATATTTTTATATATTATTTTACGAAGAAATTAATCTTTCAATCTTTGCTACTGTTCTTTTATATTTTTTTTTCCCATTGTACTAGCACTACTAACGCTATAATATAAAATATCGAGTGTTTTTCTACCTGAAGTATCTTTGCCGTTTTTAAATATATGCAAGTGTTCGACGATGTTCTTATCTCTCGCTTTACAATTTTTCCGTGTATTTTCAAGAAAGAGAAGGAATCTCGAATAAGTATGTTAAATGGTTCACCGTGTATAAGTGTTTTTCTTTCTTGCTAAGGAATAAAGGACAACTTAAAGGGGAGATGACGAAAAGAATCGGCCGGGAAACTCGCATCCGACAGCGCAGACAATTCGCTTTACGTAATAAGGCTTTTCTCTTCTGTATCTATTGGACCATCACCTATACATAACCGAATCACCTGTTCCGTATTGTCAACGCGCCAATTAGCATACTTTGCGTGCGGAGCATAGCGGCGCAGCATTATCGTATTTCCCGGAACATTATCGATTATCCAATAGTTGACCGTTTTCGATCGAGTAGCCATTCTTCATTCGCGAATTTCCCTTTCACGATCAATTTGATAACTCAAAGAATACGAATCTCACTCTCCAATTTCAATTTCAATGCTAAAATATTCGAAAATTTGGCCAGATACAGATCTGAAAATAATTTTGGACCATTAAAATAATTATGAAAGACGCTTAAATATAATAAACTACAAAATTTTTTATATTCTAGCAATCGATTTAAACATCTTGTAATAATTATTTTGATGACCTAACAAAATTATTTTCTATTTATATCTGGTTAAAATTTTTAGATACATCAGCAAAATTGTTCTTTCCGTGTACATATGTGTGGATTTTCATAGTTTGTAAATACATCTAAAAATCAAACATCCGACATCTACAAAAATTCCTATCGAAAGCATCTTTCGTCATTAAAGGATTCTCAAGTTACGACACAGATACATATACACACGTTCATGCATAGAAGGGTCGGAAATGCGCCCCTTTCCGGATAAACCGAGATCGATAGGGATGGCCAACCCTCGATATGAGCCATTGAAACTCGTTTCGAAAGGGTCTGATACGACAGCTACTTCGTTTCTCAGACTTATTCAGGGACGACGATAAGCAATAAAAGGCCCTTTCGGCTCGCATATTAAAGTTAAAGGGTGTTCAGAAAGTATCTACAACCGAGATGCTTATTTCTAATTGCGAGGTGTTTGGGCTCTGTGATAAACGATCGAGAAATTTCTTTTCTTTCCTACATTAATAAAGAAAAATCGAACAAATGTCTGACGATAATAAATACGCGTGATCTTTTTAGAAATGACGATTAATGATAAAGATGATTTCAATCGAAGGATTAAAGCTGAAGAATGTCTTACATATAAGTGATTATTATTTATTCCCCTCTTTCTCTTCCTCTCTCCTATCAATGTAAAATTCTTGGCATGATATCAAATTGAAGAAATTTGTTCTCTCTCTCTCTCTCTCTCTCTCTCTCTCTCTCTCTCTTTCTTGCTCAGCTTCGATTGATAATGATAAACTTTCACAATAAAAAGATCTTCTGATCGGGTGATCTTTTTAGAAATGACGACTAGCGATGGAAATACCTTTGAGTGGCGAGATATCGCATTTGTCAATAATCTTCGATCATAATCTTCGATCGATATATCAATATTTACCTGTGTTAAGGACATATTCATTCGATGAAAAAGGTTTTCCGAGGGAGACGTTCGCTTCGTTTTTATGTATTTTATGCCCAATCGTTTTACATACGGATCTGAAAATATCGCGGCGACGAGAATAAGCCGGCAAACCGGCAAAAAAGTGTAGATGTATTATGGCGGAATCTTTGCCATCGAAACGATCGTCGTGTCGAGGAAGAGAATTGGGACGGCGCTATAAATATAAAGAAATTCGGCGCAGCACGGTCGACTTGATCCGATTCGATCGTCGCGATTTAAATTTCGCGCGTGAAAACGCGACACTGAAAACGTAAATGACACATCTATTAATATTTCCGGTCACTTTTATATTATGCTAAAGCTTGAACGATCGATGCTTCCCTCGGTTGACCTCGGTTTTCAATACAAGAATAGCTTCGCTCATGATTTTTGCTTTCTCTCGTACACTTTGTTTTCATCTTCCCTTGTATTAGATATAAAAATGCGTTAGGCTAATATTTCATTCGTCGTTAGACAAAACTTTGGAGCATATGTTGATTAGTTACAATTTATTCTTTATGGCCTAACCAACATACAATTTGTACTTAAAACGAAATATTTGAACGATATTGAGTGAGAAAGAGGAAAGAAAATTTTAATCCAATGTAGCGATAGAGAATTTTTGGAGACTTGAAAATTTTCAAGTTGTTCACATGTTGGAATATTTGATGATAGATGGTGCGGAAGTAATGGATTTAGCTTACGATTGTATCAATAATATTTTAACTTTAAGCGAGATTTAAGCTTTTTATTCACGATGCTGTAAAAATCGATCCGAAAATCGATCTCGGAGAAAAACCGACCGATCGTATTGGTTACTTCGGCCCACTAATCGATATGATTGGTCAATTTTTCCTCCGTCTGAAATCTCAGATCAATTTTTAGCATCGAGATATAAGGCTTTAAAACTTTAAATTTATTGTCCCAAAACAAAAACAAAAAATCTAGCGCAAAATCTACTTTACACTAATTTTTGTAAAATAAGCGCAAATTAAAGCAATTAAGTATCTACTTTTACTTTGGTACAACAAATTTAAGTTTTAAGTTCTGGCTTAAATCCAGAATAACCAATATTGATGTAAGCGGACTTTAAACAACGAAAAGATTCGCCTCTTTTCAAATCGATCGATCCATCAGGATGCGAAAGGAAAAATAAGACCTCAGGCGCAACGAAGAATAAGAATAAGAAACTAAATATAAAGAATCAG